TGGAGAAAGAAGCAATTCTATTGACAATCACTAGCACGCTGCCAAACTCTCAAGCAGCAATGACCGTTGGTTCCTCTGTGCTGCTCTCTTCCTTGCTCAGCAGACTTACACTACATGGGAGGAGGCAGTGCAGTGCGGCAGTTTGCCCAGGACAAACAGTAACTTGCTGCTGGAGCAGGGTGTCCTAGAGGAGACCAGGAATTTGTTACAATGTGAGCATAGTGAAGAAATTGATCTTGAAAAGAGGTAGCTGGGCACGGTGGCTCACACTTGTAATGCCAGCACTTTGGGAGGCAGAGGCTGGTGGATCACTTGAGGTCAGCAGTTCAAGACCAGCCTGATCAACATGGTGAAACCCCGTCTCTGCCAAAAATACAAAAATAGGACGAGGGCCTGGGAGCAGTGGCTCGAAGCCTGTAAATCCCAGCACTTTGGGGAGGCTGAGGGGGCGCGATCACCTGAGGTCGGGGCAGTTGTAAAGACCAGCCTGACCAACATGGGAGAACCCCGGTCTCTACTAAAAATACAAAAAAAAATTAGCTGGGCATCTGGGCCGAGCTTGTAATCGCCGAGTTACTCAGAAAACTGAAGGCAGGGAGAATCGCTTGAAACCCAGAGGGAGGTGGGGTGCGGTGAGCCGGAGATCGAGCCATCGCACTCCAGCCTGGCAACAAAAGCGAAACTCCGTCTCAAAAAAAAAAAAAAAAAAATAAAGAAAAAAACAAAAAAAAAAGATTAGGATGCGGAGTGGTGGTCACACCTGTAAATCTCAGCACTTGGGAGGCCGGAGGGGTGGAAGTGGAGGTCACCTGCAGTCAGGAGTATCGGAGACCAGCCTGGCCAACATGATGAAACCCGCGGTCTCTACGTAAAAATGCAAAAAATTAGGCGGGCATGGTGGCAGTGGCCTGTGAATCCCAGCTACTCAGGAGGTGATGCAGGAGATTCTGAACCCAGGAGGCAGAGATTGCGTAAGCCAAAGGATCGACGCCATTGCACCTCCGCAACCGGGCAATAAGAGTGAAACTGCGTCTTGGAAAAAAAAAGAAAGTGTAGGCGGGGTAGGTGTACAGTGCCTGTTGAGTGCCCAGACTACATCGGGGAAGCTGACACAGTTGAAATTGCTTGAACCCAGAGCGGAGGTTACCAGGAGCTGAGATGACGCCACTGCATTCCAGCCACGGCCATGTAGCGAGACTCCATCTTAAAAAAAGAAAAGAAGAGAAGAGGTACTTCTTCTTCTTTTAACCTAGAAGAGTAAGAATGGGTTCAGATAGAGATAAGAAGGGAGGTATAAGTTGGAAGGTAAGAAATGAGAAAGGTTTATGCCTTATGATGATTCCCAAGTTTTCTTGGTTCTCAGAGCCCTTAGTGTTTCAGAATTTCTTTATGATACTCCCTGGACCAACAGAAAAATCTAACAGTTCCATTTATCAGGTACAGTTCAAACAACCTAATAAGTAGTTATGTCTGGATAATTTAGCAGCTGTTTGAAAAATAAATTGAGTACTATAGATAGAGTGGCTCTAGTTTTGATTTTTTTTTCTTTTTTGAGACGGAGTCTCACTCTGTCGCCCAGGCTGGAGTGCAGTGGCGCGATCTCAGCTCACTGCAACCTCTGACTCCAGGGTTCAAGCAATTCTCCTGTCTCGGCCTCCTGAGATTACTAC